CAGCACGCTGGGGCTGCCAGGCCGAGGATGTTGCCCCGCGGAGGAAGGAACCAGCCCGCGCTGTCCAAACACCCTGGCCGCGTGCTCGCCATCGGAAAAGGGGCTCTTTGTGCCCGCCGTGCCGCCGGCCAGCGCGCTTCCGCAGCGAGCCCTGGGGCCACCCGCGCGGCTCCGCTCCTGGTCCGGGGCGCACACCTGCATGCACAGTCTGCAGGAGCACACACGCAGCAGGGGCATGCACACATGTATGTGTATGCATACAGGTGCACATTGTATATGTGCACACACATGCCTGCGCATGCAGTGTTTGCATGCATGCAGTACTGCTGGCGCAAGCATGCATATATAAAAATATATACAAAAATATACTCCTGCAGATATGTGCATGCATTGCTGCTGGTGCAAGAATGCACATACACAATATTTATAAATATATGTAACATAATATATTTCTGCACATGCAGTATATGCATGCATGCATTGCTGCAGGTGGGAACAACCTCAGCAGGCAGCGAATCTCGGGCCGTGGCTGCAAGAGGAGGGAGAAATCCTCCAGGCTGGCCCTGGGCGCAGCGGGGCTCCGCTCGCCAGAGCGGTGCTCTGCGGTGTCCGAGTGTGCAGCTCCTGTCTGAGCGCTGCCCTTAGCTCCCTGACGTCTGCGTGGAGCCCAGGAAAATGGGCTTAAGTCGGGGATGCGATAACCCTGATCAGAAGTGCTTGGAAGGCTTTTCTGCCTGCATGAAGACAACCGGGGGAGGAAACTGCAGGGAAATGCTCCGCGGCTGCTTCTCTAGTTTGTTTTAACGCGGTGGCTGATGTGCGGTGACTTTTCTGAGTGTGGTTCTCCCCTCCCCTCAGTGATAACTCGTAGCTGCACATGGATTAGTTCAGTCTGGGGGGAAAAACACCCCACAGGAAAACTGAATGCTTTAGAGGAGGGATTCCTGAAATGAGTCCAAAGCGGAGCTCCTGGGCGCGGGCGCCTTGCCTGCTTCCAGACGCAGAGTTTCATTAAGAGAGAGCCAAATTTATGTTAACTGCTCTTCTAAGGTTACTTTCCTGTGCAGGCAAGTGTGGGGAGAAGCAGGACAGTCTGCGGCCAAGGGGCTGAACCGGTGCTGGGGCTGCAGCTCCCGCGTTGTCCCGTCCCGCCTCCTGCGTGGAGCTTCCCGGCGGCTCCTCCGGCTGCAGCTCCGGTGGCCTGGAGCCCGGTGCCGCCCGCGCGGCTGCCAGCACGGCCGCTGCTCTGTCTGCTCGGGCAATCCCCGGTCCTAATGGCAATGCCAGTGTCTGCACTTGGAGGGCAAGCCGGAAAGTTCACGCGCGCTCATGCATGCCAGCGGTTACGTGTGTGCAGCTTGGATGCTGTTTGCACTGAGCCTTGGTCAGACGCTGCCTCCCGAGGGCCGTTGGCCTGCAGGATGTTTCTGTTTGCTTGCATTTGTTCTTTTATTATTGCTGTTATTATTATTCCTTTGGGTTTTTTAAGCCTTTTGTAAAATTTACTTCTTTCTATCCTAACCATAATGCTTAAAAATCTTTTTAAGACCTAAAACAAGGCTAAGACTTCCATAAAACCACAGGATCCCAACGTCTGTGACTGTATGAGAATCTGAGGAGATTCAACGTTAGACCGTGAAGGAAGGCACTAGGATTTGTTCAAACACTGCGTGATCCCGTCAACGCCGCGAGCGACCCAGCACGTCCCGCGGTAGCAACGGCCGCCAGCACCCGCGAGCCCTTGGGGTTATGGCACCAGCAGGCAGACCCAGTTCTTGAAACGTCACCGGTTCTGCTGGATCGCTGACCCTGACTCGTCCAGGTAAATTGGGCTTTGTTGCATGTTAGAGTTTTACAGACACCTTTGCGTGCTTCCTTCTGCAATTCTTGGGATTTTGTGTTTGAGGTCCTTTTAGGAATGCATCAAAGGAAAGCTGGCATTGACCTCTGTACAGAAAGCTCTTGAATATTCACGGTTACTTGGTGCTTTTCCAAGGGATTCGCTGCCACGGGACGTATTTAATGGCTCTTTTGGAAGCGGGTTGTTTTGGGCCCGGGCCGCAGCCAGGCATGGCCAACGAAACCTTCCTTCCTGCCTGAGTGGAATTGCCATTAACTCCTGACTAGTTTTCAAGAAGTTGTTTCTTTTTTTTTCTTTACTTTTTTTTTTTTTTGGAGGCTGTGGAGTTCTTCCAAGAATTTTTCAATTTTTACAAATTAAAGTACAGTCTAAGCCAGACGCCAGCTGAAACGCGCTCACTTGGTACCAGGAGGCCAAGGCACCGCGCTGCCGCTCCGCAGGACCCTCTGAAAGAGCCTTTCTAGAACTAGCCGCTAAAAACACTTTCCAAAAACCCGCAGTTGCAGCTACTCTTATTACTTACAATATCCTCGATGGGGAGGATCATAAAAATAATTCCTCAGGAGCTTTAGCAACACCAGCAGCAGGGGACCTTGTGCTTTCCCTGCAAACCTATAGATCCGGGTTGTGACTGAGATGTAGCCAATAAGGTGCTTTTCCAAAATCATTGCTTCCATAAGAATAAAATGGATAAAGGTGGGGAAGCCTTTGCTTTTCTCATGCAGAAGAACAGACCTGTGAGTTAGCAGTTTGCCAAAGTGAAGAGTTCTGAGCCCAGCCATGGCTGTGTGAGGAGGAGCAGGGTGCTGCTTTCTCGTGCTCTGCATTTCTGCTGCCGTGCGCGAGGCTGGGCCTTGGCTGGAGCGCCTTGCAGCGAGCTCTGCGGGCCGGGCCTGAGCACCAAGACAGCCAGAGCTGGGACATCTAAAGCTCCATTGTGCACGGCTATGCCTGGAAAGCCTTTTGGTGCTTTTTTAGTCAGTGTTGTGACAGTCTGGGAGCTGCATGAAACAAATGGGGTTGTCCCCCACCCCACTGCCCTCCAGCAACGTCCCGCAGGAGCCGCCAGCGCTGCAGAGGGGACGGAGACGCTGGGAGTGGTGGTTGCAGAGCGGGAGGGCGTCAGTGTGGCCTGGGCTGGTGATCACCAACTTGTCTTGTGTCCTGCGCCCGCTTTATTTTTGTTCCTGGTGCTGGAAAGGGGGCTGGAAGGATGCGGCTGTCTGCGAATTCCCATCCCGGGAGCTGCAGCCTGCAGTGATGCAGGAGCTCGGCAAAGTGAGCGCCCTTGTGCCCAGGCTGCGCGTGACCTGCTCGCTCTGGGGTGCAGAGCCCCCGTCCTGCCACCTCGGCCCCTCGCCCGCCCTCCGCACCCCCGGCTGAGGCTCCGAGCCACAAATCCACCCATGGGCTTCGCTCTCCATCGCTTCAGCTTCCCGGCTCCCTTCCTCCATCCGTGCTCCAGATGCTGAGGCAGATGTGGGCAGCGCTGCGCCGGCGCCTCAGCATTGCCCCCTCCTGGGCTGCTGGTGACACTGTGACCCTGAGCCTGCTCCGTGCAGCAGGGCCGCGAGCAGCACGGATGGTGCCTGGTGCCAGCGGGGAGCTGCGGGCGGCAGCGGGATTTGCCCTGCAGGCTGCCACCCCTCAGGGTGCATTGCTGGGTGCCACCCTTGGTTTGCATTTCTAGGTGCCACCTCCTGGTGTGCATTGCTGGGTGCCACCCCCAGATGCCCGCTAGGCAGAAAGGTGGCTTGGGCAAGGCCTCGGGGTGCAGTAGTTTTATTAACCCCTATATAAGCCCTTTCCCCCTCACCTAGGGACAGAACTTTCCAGCAGTGCCCTCCTCGTGGCAGTGCCCTCATCACTGCTCGTGTGTCTGAAGCAGCCTCTGTGGCTGTGGCGGGGGTGACGCTTCTCCCCGGGTGGGTGGCAGGTGTGGGGCTCAGGCTTGACCCGAGACAAGGTGTCCCAGAGCTCAGAGGATGGGGACACGTGGGAGCCAAGCAGTGCTGTGTGTCTTAGGAGCTGGCTCCCCTGCTCAGGCCTTTGCTCTTCTGACTGTGGGGTGATGCCCGTCCATAGGTGCAGCTCAGGGCGAGGGCGCCCGGGAGCGGAGCCCAGCGGGTGCCCAGGGCTCGGGCACGGGGGCAGGACGCCCGCG